GCCGGTTAATCTCTTCCTCAAATATTCCATCACAAGTAAGCACGACTCCGAGGTACCTGAACTTCTCCACCTGCTCCACTGCCTCTCCGTTAATCTGAAGCGAACAACGGGCAGGAGAACGAGAAAGCACTAGGCTTTCGTTTAAATGCGTTCACACGTATGCCGGTCAAGTCGCACTCGGCTGCGAACCGTTCTAGGGAGAACCACAGATCTGCTTCAGAAGATGCCAATAAAAGAAGGTCGTCTGCAAACAGCAGTTTTCTCGTCTTCACATCTCCTACGCCGATACAGCCATCGCCTTGGCTGCTCCTGACCATTCTACCCATGTATAACACATGCAGGAGAGAAATAGGACGCCTTGGCGAGACCAGTGCCAACGTTGAAAGGTTTAGACTTAATGTGGTGTATTCGCTTCAAAATATGCAGCTTCATTCCTGTTTTGCATCTTCCACAGTCGCCGAGTTCTTTCGGCATTCATTCTTCGCCATCTGCGAAACTTTCGTTAACTTCAGTTCTTCGCCTATTTGTTAGTTCATTTTGACGCAGGTCGGCATTGAACCATCAAGTCAGGTTAATGAGTTTTCTTTGCTCTTCTCATCTACGGTGTTGCCGGTTTCTTCTACGTAACTGAGATCGCACTATCAAGGTACGGTGTAAATCTGGCTTTGACATTTTGATTTCGGCCTGATGGTTTTGACACTCATCAGCTGACTCTGTAATGCTTTCTGGCACCCGAATACGAGCTGTATTCAACACTTTCCTATGATCCTCTGCAGCTACTCGCTTAGATGTTGCACGCATGGAACAACAACGCCGGCACTGCATTTCTGTTGTTCGTTCTTTTGTTAGTTGCTCGCTACATCTCCATTGATGACTGCTAATTCCTGAGGTGTTCTTATTGTCCGTCTAGGGTAGCCACGGTTTCGGAGAGTTCTCCGAATGCAGGATAGTTCTAAGGGCTACTACTGTCGTCTGAGCTCAGTTTCAAGCATCTGCTGGCTAGATTGTTGGCAATGCACTGATTCACGCAATGCCGATGATTCGAATTCAACGGCAGAATTAAGTTGATACATGCTGATGTGTAAAAACGTGCAAGAATATGCATATGCATTTTAAAATCTGATAGTAGTAATAGTTTACTCTAGCACCGCTTAACATTTAATCAATCGTTTAATCAAGTGACAGCGATCAACCCTTCACTTCAATCGATCCAACCTTCTTTAAATTACAAGACGGTCTCAGCAACACCAATTTCCACTGCTACAATAGGTCACGTTACCAACTGCTCTACATGTACATATTCATTGCTTTTTCCTCATAGCATCATGGAACGTTAAACAGAACTTCACTTATTTTGAAGCTGCCAGCAAAGAGCTCTACGAAGGGTCAGACACCCTGCTTCGCTAGGTTTGCTTCAGCACCCCGAAAGAAACAGTAAACATACACTGGAACAACATTTGCATCGTTCTAAAGAATTCCTGATGCATATTTTTATGCTTGAACTTGTAATGCTTTTATTATTTATTCTGCGCGGTTCTTGATATCGCTGGAGCGTGCGTACCTATGTACCAGAGCAATAAAGATTTACTTCCTTAGGTATGAACAGAAAGCGTCGGAGAAGATTTACATAATAAAATTACTGCAACCGATTTCCACTGCCGTCAATTAACCTATTAGTCACATTTAAGGACTTCTAGAAAAAACGAACTTTAATAAAGTGTGCGTTGACAAACCCACCAGAATAATACCTTTGTGTACAGTCAGTTGTTCGCTGCCAACTCCTCTAAAATCATAGAGGGCAACAAACGTCGAACCGCCAACCGACTGCTCAACGGTACTGGCATTTGACACATCATTTTGACCGGACAAAAGACTTTCTCGAGAACCGAACATACTGACGACAGGCTGAGTTAGCCGAACTTCCCGCCTATCCCCGCGATCTGGATCTTCCGGAAAAGATGGGTACTTGAATTCGCTAGAAAAGCCTAAAAGCAAGCAACTTTTTAAATGATCATCAGGTTCGATCGATTGCTGTAGTCAGAAAGTAAAAAACTGACCGGTTATCATACGCTACAGAGGCGTTGATGTTGGTCGGAAAGCTCAAGATTATCAAATTACTGGATTCACCTTGTACTGACGGACGGAATGTATACTTTATGCATACACAGTGAAATGCAGAAGCCGAACAGCTTAAGTTAAGTAAGCTTTGCTATAAATACTCCGTAAGTATTACTTCTGTATAGCATGATACAAAACGTTAAGAACTATAATCCTCTAATTCTAAGATCCAATAATCCTTCACTAGAAAATCGTCATCGCGAACGTCGCTTTCATCACCAGCAGAGCCATCAGAATCATCAGTTACCTTCATCGTTGACTTTTTGTCGCTATGACTGACGTACCATTAGGAACTGCACAATGTTGAATGAAGTTTACCGAAGCAAACACTTTACTGAACATAGTGAAACACACTGGTTCATCAGGTTGACAAATTCAATGGAATATTTCGATGTCTATCTCACTGAGTTCAATCAGCACACTGCGGATGGGTAACAGCACTGGCTGATACTCACTGTCGCAGCTGCTATTTCATGAATTTCAGCTCTAGCAACAAGTTCAGTTGTGGTCAACAAGTACCAGCGAGGTCAACAACAAACTAGACACCGAAAAAGGTGAGTCGTCATTCGTCCGTTTCCTACCATTCCTCTCAGATTATGGAACAGCTACTTCAGAAGTTCAGGAGGTACTTCCGATGAACCCCGCACACTATCAAATGGGCAATCTAAGTGGTTTCTATTCCAAGGCGTAACAACCCCTAGTCACGTTTCTATACAAATGAAACATCGTCTGCAATTCGCTACCATACGGCTATGCCGTGAGTTACTTACCATACGGCTATGCCGTGACATCCACACGCATGGCATCCCCATCGTACGTCCAGCCTACTGCAACAATGATCTTGGCATGGAAAAAAAGCAGCTTACAACCTAGAATACCTCGCATCACGGTGCTCCGAACTTCGCGAAATCTCGTCAAGCCAGAAACGTCATGCCACCTGGAATCGTACGCCTTTACTCAATATCCAGACTCATGACTGCATACG